ATCAATATGCTTTTCTAATTTCTAAACTCTTACTTAGACAGTAATGGTAACAATTATCACCAGATCTTCTTGCAAAAGTAATGAGTGGGATCCACTTCACCAAACCAAGTTTTTCATCAGTTTCAGGTGTCAGTAGCATCTAGTCCTTTTTTTCGGTCTCAGGACTGGTGTTCCTGGATGTCACAGTTCTTCCCATAAGACCTCCTCATACTGGACCTCCACTTAATTTCTCCTGACTGGTATCCTTCTCTGGATACAGGGGTTATCCAGTGAGAATTCTGCAGGTGTTAGAAGTGTAATCCCTTCAGATCTAGGCTAGAATCCATTCCATGGATGCATTAGGCTAGGGGTTGCCAAAGTTTTTCTGTAAGGCAATAGCGAATATTTTCAGCTTTGTGTGCCATACAGTCTCTGTCACTACTCAACTCTGCCACTGTAACCCTAAAGCCACCATAGACAATATGTAAACAAATAGCATGGCTTGTTCCAATAAAACTTTATTTACAAAAACAAGTAGCAGACCAACCCCTGCTTGAGGCTGATGGAGAGATTACTTCATGTTGAGAACACTTGGGCTTACATTTGAGGTAGGCTGAAGGGATGGGATGGGAGAGGAAGGGAAAAGGCATAGAGAAGGTCTAACAAGTAACAAAGAGCCAGTTTGGCCAAAAAGCAATGTGCATGCAAGAAGGTGGCAAGAGACCGAAATTTAACTAGGTAAGAATAAGTACATTTACAAGCATGTGCAAATTGACTTTTTGCTATTTCATCTTTTATTTAAACACCATACTGCTTAAAAATACTTTAAAAACATTATTTAAAAAGTCATTTTCTATTACAATCACAAACTCCTTCCTTGTATCAAAAGTTGTGCCACTATCTTGGTTACTTGTGGATTCACCAAGCAGTCCAGCACGTCATCGGTAGAAATGAATGTTTGAGAAGGGGCCGTAGGATGATTTGAAGCAATTTGTTCAACTGCATTCTCACTTTTACTCATCTTTCGTTGCCTCTTGATACAACGCAATTTTCCAAAGTGTTCTCCATCTTTGCCAACAAAGTCTTTATCATCATTTTCAAATATGTCTCCCCTTTCTGAGGGTGGGTTTTCAGAACTTGGTACCACAGGAATCAGGTCAGGGCCAAAGGGGCTTGCTGCCTCCTGTTTTACTGTTCCCAAGGTTAAGTTCTGGCTACCTATGCGTTCCACCTCCATGAGGTTTTGTACATTTAATTCTTCTTTTCTCATGTACTCGCCATTTGCTTTGAGTTCTTGGATTTCTACCACCTTAGATGTTCTGTAATGATCAAAAAGGGCAGAAACAGCTCCATTTAAGTAGCGACAATTGACTTCATGGGATATTTCCTCAACCTAAGAAAAAAGAAAAACCCTTTAGTATGGTTACATGCACTTACATAAACTGGAAAACAAATGTTCTGACCAGGGTTGATTTATCACAGTAAACTAACTGCCATGATGAAACCAGCAGCGGCCCACCTCAGTTGGGTTTAACCAAGCTCTGGTATTGTGTGGATCCTCTGCACTTTTCAAGGCACACACAAGCATGCGGGTGATTGCCTCTTCTACCCGGGCTTGATGGTCCTCTTCCTAAATTGAGATTAAAAAAAAACAAAAACAAAGCATTGCTTTCATTTGTCTGTGTTCCATGACTTAAAACAGAGTACAATTTCTCTTGTGTTCTATTCTCTCATTAATATAAGCTTTGTTACAGAAGGAATGTGTTGTTGGCAGACCACAATTTTTATGTATTCACTGTCATTTGCCATCTAGAAGAGCTATAGAATATTTCAATAATCCTGACTATAAGACATAGGCCATAACTTTGAAGCACTCTGTGATGTTTTTCCAATCTTTTCCATTCTCTGACATGTGTAAAGTTAAAAAAAAAAAAGTATTACATACAGAGGAATAACCCTTATCAAGTCTGATAAGCTAATTGTTTGAGGAATGGGAGAAAATTATAATAAACATGTTTAACCACAAGAATCAGATAGCTAAACATGTAGCTATGATTTTTTAAGATATAAGTATAAACTATAGCTGATAAATTACATTAAAATCAACAACTTCTGTCATCAAAAGACACCATAGAATAAAAAAACAAACCAGATATCTGTAACATATATAATTGATATGAGATTAATATCCAGAATATATAAAGAGTCTGTAGACATCAATAAGACAAATGACCCAATTTTTAAAAATAAGCAAAAGATGTGAAGACAAGTATTTTTTTTTAAAAAACAATCATATGACTAATAAACATAAAAGTAAGCTTAACCTCATTAATAATCAGGGAAATGTAAATTGAGAAACCCATGAACCTGACAAAAGATGGTCTGATAATTCCAAGTGGTGGAAAAATGTGCACTGACAGACAGAAATCTCATATACTGATAATGGGAGTGCAAACTGATAGAGCCATTTGGAAAACATATTTGTGTTATCTTGTAAACTTGAGTATTGTATACCCTACAGGCCAGCATTTGTACTCTGAGATATATACATATTCTCTTGAGAAACGCTTGAACATTTGTTCAAGAATATTCTATTTATAAAAGTAAAAAAAAATTGGAAACAACCCAATTATTCATCAATAGAACAATGAACCAATAAATTGTGGTACATTAACACAAGAGAATATTATACCACAGTGAAATGAATGAACAGCTACATGTGACAACACAGATGAATCTTAAAAACGTTATCTTAAACTAAAAAAGCAAATCCCCACAATGAGACACCACTTCACACTAGGATGGCTATAATTAAAAGACAGATAACAACAAATATTGGTGAGGATGTGGAGAAATCAGAATCTTCATATATTGCATGTGAGAATGTAAATGGTGCAGCTGCTTTGGAAAATAGCCTGGCATTTCCTCAAAAGGTTAATCATAGAGTTATCATATGTGATGGTTCACTTTATGAGTCAACTCGATTAGTTTATGGTGCTCAGTTGTTTGGTCAAGCAGTAGTAGAGATGTCACCAGGAAGATGTTTGTAGATGTGATTAACATTTACAATCGGTTGACTTTAAGTGAAGTCTTATATCTTACAAATATGCTATTAATAATACATACATATTCATATATATGTGATTTATGTATATACACACATTATATATATATATATAAATATATATATGACATAATAAAGAAAAATTATAAGAGTGAGAGGAAAGCCTTTAAAATTAACAAAAACATTTTCTAAAAAAAGTTTGGAAAACATACTGATAAAATAAATACATTTCAATACTAAAAAAATAAAGAGATAAAATGGATGAAAAAGGCACCATTGAGAAGAATTGAGAACACACTTTATTCCCTAGAATATATTGGGACAGAATCTACATTTCTTTAACAGAGAAACTAACAAGGCATGAATACTGCCCCATCTGAACAGAACTAGTACCTACTTTTTTCCAAATCTATGTGATTTGTGACAGGAATACCACAGCCTGGAGTTAGCTAGAATTGTATGACTATGGCTTTAAGAACTAAGGTCTTTTTGGAGCTCAATTTGGCCAACAAGAAAGGATTATGGTCCAGTGTTTGAAGAGTCAATAATAACAGAGAAAGATCAATTACTGAACTCCTATTTTGCACTCCACTTTTTCAGGAAAGAATAAACGGCCTTCAAACTGTGACATATTGAGGAAGACGTTGCAATACCAATCCTTTGGGAAATTCTAGGAGACAACTAAATAGATGGAATACAACAAGCCTTTAAAAGACCAGGGTGAAGGCTTTCAAGCTCTTAAGACCATGTAAATCCAAATCTAAATAAAACATGAACGAACAGTATTTTACAGTACATTAAAAAATAACACATCACAACCTAGTGGGATTTATTCCAGAAATTAAGGATGGATCAATATTAGGAAATGCACTGATATAATTTATTACAAGACCAGATATTTACTAATGAGGAATATTATATGATCATCTCCACTGATGCTTAAAAGGCATTTGACAAAATTTAACACTTTTTCCTGATTTAAAAAANCATTTCCACATCGTGAACTGCCTCAAGATCATCGATAAAGCCTGCGATGGGGTCACCAAGAGAACCCTCAATTCTGTTTGGAGAAAACTGTGGCCTGATTGTGTTCTTGGACATGACTTAGAGGGGCTTGCTCATGAACAGGAGCCTCCAGTTGTAGATGAAATTGTGTCCTTGGAGAAGACCAAGGGACTGGAGGTGAATGAGGACGACATTCAAGAGCTGGTGGAGGAACATGGCCAGGAGCTGAGCACCGACAAACTGGTGGATCTGCATCGCGAGCAACAGCAAGAGGCTATGGAGGAGATCTCGTCTGCAGAGGAGGAGGAGCAAAAGGTGGAGGAATCCCTCATGTCAAATGAGATTAGGGAGATGTGTAAAATGTGGGAAACGGTGCAAAATTTTGTAGAAAAGCACCACCCGAATAAGGCTGTAGTAGTGGGAGCAATGAATCTGTTTAACGACAATGCAATGTCACATTTCCACGAAATCCTCAAAAGGAGACAAAAGCAAGTGTCATTGGATAGGTTCCTTGTTCAAGTTGCACAAAAAGAAAAAGGTTCTGTTGAGCCAATAGATAGCAGGGATTCCGTCAGTGACAGTGCTAGTTGTCCTGCACAATAACCCTCCACGCTCTTGTCTCCCTCACACCAGCCATGAAGGTTTTCAAAGGTAAGTGCGGGTTAATTTATTTTTCTTTATATTCTGTATTTTCTTCATCATTTTGTATTATATTACAGTACTGTAATCATTTTTATATGAATATTTTTGGGTTGTGGAACAAATCTTCTGAGTTTCCATTATTTCTTATGGGGAAATTTGCTTTGATATACAAGTGCTTTGGATTACAAGCATGTTTCCAGAACAAATTATGCTCACAAACCGAGGTTTTACTGTACTTTCTTTGGATTGATACCCCCCATCTGAAGACTGAGAAAGATGGGGCCAGTTATCAGTTCATCTTAAAAGGTGACTTTGTGTATCTTTTCTGTTATGTATTTGTTTCATGAATGGTTATTCAGAAATCAATATGCTTTTCTAATTTCTAAACTCTTACTTAGACAGTAATGGTAACAATTATCACCAGATCTTCTTGCAAAAGTAATGAGTGGGATCCACTTCACCAAACCAAGTTTTTCATCAGTTTCAGGTGTCAGTAGCATCTAGTCCTTTTTTTCGGTCTCAGGACTGGTGTTCCTGGATGTCACAGTTCTTCCCATAAGACCTCCTCATACTGGACCTCCACTTAATTTCTCCTGACTGGTATCCTTTTCTGGATACAGGGGTTATCCAGTGAGAATTCTGCAGGTGTTAGAAGTGTAATCCCTTCAGATCTAGGCTAGAATCCATTCCATGGATGCATTAGGCTAGGGGTTGCCAAAGTTTTTCTGTAAGGCAATAGCGAATATTTTCAGCTTTGTGTGCCATACAGTCTCTGTCACTACTCAACTCTGCCACTGTAACCCTAAAGCCACCATAGACAATATGTAAACAAATAGCATGGCTTGTTCCAATAAAACTTTATTTACAAAAACAAGTAGCAGACCAACCCCTGCTTGAGGCTGATGGAGAGATTACTTCATGTTGAGAACACTTGGGCTTACATTTGAGGTAGGCTGAAGGGATGGGATGGGAGAGGAAGGGAAAAGGCATAGAGAAGGTCTAACAAGTAACAAAGAGCCAGTTTGGCCAAAAAGCAATGTGCATGCAAGAAGGTGGCAAGAGACCGAAATTTAACTAGGTAAGAATAAGTACATTTACAAGCATGTGAAAATTGACTTTTTGCCATTTCATCTTTTATTTAAACACCATACTGCTTAAAAATACTTTAAAAACATTATTTAAAAAGTCATTTTCTATTACAATCACAAACTCTTTCCTTGTATCAAAAGTTGTGCCACTATCTTGGTTACTTGTGGATTCACCAAGCAGTCCAGCACGTCATCGGTAGAAATGAATGTTTGAGAAGGGGCCGTAGGATGATTTGAAGCAATTTGTTCAACTGCATTCTCACTTTTACTCATCTTTCGTTGCCTCTTGATACAACGCAATTTTCCAAAGTGTTCTCCATCTTTGCCAACAAAGTCTTTATCATCATTTTCAAATATGTCTCCCCTTTCTGAGGGTGGTTTTTCAGAACTTGGTACCACAGGAATCAGGTCAGGGCCAAAGGGGCTTGCTGCCTCCTGTTTTACTGTTCCCAAGGTTAAGTTCTGGCTACCTATGCGTTCCACCTCCATGAGGTTTTGTACATTTAATTCTTCTTTTCTCATGTACTCGCCATTTGCTTTGAGTTCTTGGATTTCTACCACCTTAGATGTTCTGTAATGATCAAAAAGGGCAGAAACAGCTCCATTTAAGTAGCGACAATTGACTTCATGGGATATTTCCTCAACCTAAGAAAAAAGAAAAACCCTTTAGTATGGTTACATGCACTTACATAAACTGGAAAACAAATGTTCTGACCAGGGTTGATTTATCACAGTAAACTAACTGCCATGATGAAACCAGCAGCGGCCCACCTCAGTTGGGTTTAACCAAGCTCTGGTATTGTGTGGATCCTCTGCACTTTTCAAGGCACACACAAGCATGCGGGTGATTGCCTCTTCTACCCGGGCTTGATGGTCCTCTTCCTAAATTGAGATTAAAAAAAAACAAAAACAAAGCATTGCTTTCATTTGTCTGTGTTCCATGACTTAAAACAGAGTACAATTTCTCTTGTGTTCTATTCTCTCATTAATATAAGCTTTGTTACAGAAGGAATGTGTTGTTGGCAGACCACAATTTTTATGTATTCACTGTCATTTGCCATCTAGAAGAGCTATAGAATATTTCAATAATCCTGACTATAAGACATAGGCCATAACTTTGAAGCACTCTGTGATGTTTTTCCAATCTTTTCCATTCTCTGACATGTGTAAAGTTAAAAAAAAAAAAGTATTACATACAGAGGAATAACCCTTATCAAGTCTGATAAGCTAATTGTTTGAGGAATGGGAGAAAATTATAATAAACATGTTTAACCACAAGAATCAGATAGCTAAACATGT